TAGGAGAGAACTTGGGTTGCAGATGGCTGGAGGAAGAGCACTGCAGGTGGGGGAGGAGGCAAGAGAAACTGGGGTGGAGGTGGGAATGTGGAGTGCCTGGATCAGGCAGCTCGCGTGGGGAAATTGTTACCGAGTCCAAACTTGTTCTGCTCGCCACACAACAGGCCAATAAGTCAGGAGAGGAGGTGCTGGGGCAAGGAACAGTGACTTTGTTTGGAAAGCCAGAAGACTGAGAAGATGGGGGACTAACGTCCTAGAGAACCATCTTACTCACACAGCAGATGTGTGATTTTTCTGCCCCTAGAACACTTTTGTGCAGAATGACTTCCATAGTCTACCCGTCTGCGTTCATTCACCTCCCTTTGGGGTCACAAGGTAAAGCAACAGAGAAATGCTCAGAGAAGACATTCATCCTTTTCATTTTTCCTTTCAAGGTATTTTTGAACGACAGTGTTAAAGCGTCTCTAATGCTGCCGTGAACTGTTAACAGGCACGTTTGCACATCACATCTATCATGCTGTTTGCATGATGTTACTTGAAGAAACAGCTCAAAGTACTTTTAAAATGTAGCCTTTTATCTCTGGAAGCACCAGAGACTATTTGCAGACTGGTCTCGGGAAGCAAATTAGCCTAGCCCACTGGCGAGTTCCTGGAGACGTGGGCATTTCCGCGAGTGGTTCCTGGCCCCTTAATCCTTTTGATCATTTGCACTGTGTATTTTTATACAGAGTTCTGTGCTTTGGAGAAATAAAATAAAGAAACTTAAAGGTGAGTTTGACAAGGGCTTCTCCACACTGTTTGTCGATGCAGATGGAGCCTGAATTTTAATGGTAGTAGTTTCTTTTAAACAACTAAGCTTCTCTAAACCTCTCCACAAATAATGTCAGTGTACAGATTATGCCTGAAGGTGTTTGCTGGTGAGTGGGGCTCTTTTCTGACCCCATGCTGTGCCACAAAAGAAGAGCCTAATCCTGGAAAACAGCCTTGACAGCCTGGATGTCAGTTACCCCACAGCTGGGATTTCTCACCTGGGCCACTGCCTGTGGGACATTGGCTGTCATGTGATAGCATCAGGTGTCTATATTCAGGAGCCCAGCTTGGGGGACACAGAATGAGCTAATCCTTCCATCTTCAGTGAGACCTGGTTGGCTCTTTTCTGGACCCTGCCACATACTGGCTGTGGGATGTTATGTGAGAAAACTTTGTGGAGATGCCTTGGTTTCCTCATCTGTAAAATGGGGATGATATCTGTTGTAAACTGTTGTGAGCAATATCTGTCTGCCCATATTCATAGCAGCACTACCCACAACAGCCAAAAGGTGGAAGCAGCCCAAGTGTCATTGACAGATGAATGGATAAACCAAATGTGGCATTAAAGTGCAATGGGTATTATATAACCTTAAAAAAAGAAGGACATTCTGACACATGCTTCAACATGGGTGAACCTTGAGGACTTCCTGTTGAGGGAAATAAGCCAGTCACAAAAGGACAAACACAGTGTGAGCTGATCTATATGAGGTACCCAGAGTAGTTAAATTCACAGAGACAGAAATAGAATGGCAGTTGCTTGGGGCTGGAGGAAGACAGAAATGGGAAGTTAGGGTTTAATGGATATAAAATTTCAACTTTGCAAGATTAAAAACATTCTGGAGATGGATGGTGGTGATGGTAGTGTAACAATGTGACCATACTTAGTGCCACTGAACAGTACACTTAAAAATGGTTAAGATGGTAAATTTTATGTTATGTGTTCTTTACCGCCATAGAGAAAAATTGGAAAAACTTTTGTTATGAGCATTAAAGAACATCTTACATTAAAGTCAGCGATGGTATGTTAATGTTTCAATGTGTATTTGTTTGCTTTTATTTGATCACTAAAAATGTTGAAAATTTTTCATGTCTTGATTTACATTTATTTTTTCCAATGTGTATTGCCTATAAATTTACATCTTTTGCTTATAGTTCTAGTGTGGCTTCAATGCCTTTCTTACCAAATATATTTTATCATATTTGTATGCCATGTTTAATATTCAGAGTAATAGGATATTACTACTTATGCAGTTAAATCACTCATTTAAACATTTCAAGACACAAACTAAGAAGATTTTAAAGTAGATCAAAGGTGGTTCTACAATAACATAATTAATGAATCATCTTCCCATAATCCACCATCACTCTTTTCATGTCTATTAGCATAAAATCCGGTTTTATTTACTTATTTATTTTATTGAGGTATAGTTGATTTACAGTGTTGTGTTAATTTCTGGTGTACAGCATCTTGATTCAGATATACATATGTATTTCTTTTCATATGCTTTTTCATTATAGGCTATTACAAGGCATTGAATGTAGTTCCCTGTGCTATACAGTAGAACCTTGAATTTTTTCTGTTTTATATGTATATATATATAGGTGTCAGTATCTGTAAATCCTGAACTCCCAATTTATCCCTCCCTATCTCCTTCCACCCTGGCATAAAATCTGTTTAGATTGACTATTGTTTAGCATGACTATAATATTTGAATTAAAATTATGTAGACTGACCAATTAAGAATAAAATACGAATAACCTAATATAAAAAGGGCATAAAAATTAGAGCAAATAAAAATTTAAATGATTAATAAGCATGACTTTTTAACCTAATAATTAAATTCATGAGCAGTAAAGTGGTAGGATACTGTCTGCCATCTATAAATTGGTAGGAGTTAAAAACACTGTAATGGTGACTGAGGCTGGCCCTCGGATATGCTGCCAATTGGGAGAAAAATTGGGTCAACTTTAATGAGTAGCAATTTGACACTAGGTGTCAGGAAACTTAAAAATGTTTAGAAACATTTATCTAGAAATTCCACTTATGTAACTAAGGCTTGAGGCAGCCTCAGAAATGTAGAAAAACATTTATATTCATAGGTTAAAAATGGGATTCAGTCCAAATGCACAGTAACAGTGAATGGTTGAATAAGTAGCAGTATGGCCATCTTTGGAGTGTAATGTAGTCATTATAAATGGTATTTCCTAAAAATTTCAGTGGTATGAGAAAACACAGTATTGCTGGTAAGGAGAAAAAGCTTGATGTAGTGATTATAATAAAACCAATTGTGTGTCATGGTGTGAGTGTGTGTTTTGTGTGTGTATCTGGTATGTATCTAGGAAGAAATGTGTAAAAATATTCATAGTACTCGTCTTATATGGTAGAAGTGTAAGTGATTTTTATTTTCTTTTTTATACAGATGCACATTTTCTAAGCTTCATGTTGTTTGCAAATTATTGTTTCTACCATCAGAAATACATTTAAATTTTTTTAAAAAACTAAAGATAATGAATAGATTTCTTTCCTGTTCTGGATTCAGCGCATTTTGCTCTCTCAGCTTTGATGTATTGGACAGGACCCTGAACCGGAAGTCAGAAGGTAGTTTTTCAGGTTATGGTCCAGAAATTTACTAGCTATGTGACCTTGGGCAAATCTAACTTACATGTACCTGTTTTTACAAATGGGGATTTCTACCTTCACTGCCAGTACCACTGGAGGGTTGTCAGAATTAAGGTGACATCGCCAACACAGGGGGAAATCACTTTTGCAAACTAAGGTGTAAGTTCAAATTATTCCCCAAACCACCGTGAGGCTTGGTAATTTGTTAGAAGGACTCACAGAGCTCCCCCAGAGCTGTTATCTTCACCGGTTGATTACAGGGAAAGGATACAGATCAAAATCAGCCAAATGAAGAGAGCATCGGGCAGAGTCTGGAAGGGTTCCAGCGTGAAACTTTCGTGTCATCTCCCACGTAGTCAGGATGTGTTGCCCTCCTGGCATCCGCGCATGATGACATGCCAAGAGTATTGCCAGCCAGGAAGCTCCCCCAAGCTTCGGTGTCCAGAGTTTTTATTGGGGCTTCATTATGGAGGTGTGATTGATTGATTGCTCACATGGCTGGACTCAGTCTTCAGGTCAACAGATACTCTGTTGCTCAAAACCCCCACCCTCAGTCACAGGGTTGGTCTTTCTGTCTTAGCAGCCGCTTCCGTAACACTGTTGGCACCCCTACCGAAAGGCTGTTAGTGTGGCTGGCCCTTCTCTAAATAAGGGCACTCCTTTCAGGTATCAGAGGCCAAGGCAAAGGCCGGCTACCTATGTGGGCAAGTCTCAATTCTTTCCTACACACAGGTGGCTGAAAAGAGAGGGGAAACAAATTTAAATGTAGAGATGTGGTTAGTTTGGAGGGGTCTATTATTTGCCATGTTCTAACGGTGTAAAATAAGAGAGGGCATGAATTCCATCGGTACGAGTGATGCTGCAAATACCCGCTTCCCTGATCCACAGGACTGTGGGGACCACCTTTGAGAAGGGGCTGGCTGGCAGTGGGGGCTGCAGACAGGCGTTTGCTACAGGAATTGTTTATCACAGAGATGAATTAGGCTGAGAAAACACTTATCGCCCTGCTGGATCTAGGAACCTGACCCTTGCCTCGGTGCTAACAGCACAGCAAATATGTCCCTCCGTTAACAAATTTATCTAACATGAACGAGCTCTAAACCTGTTTCTTCCCCAGGTTTCTCTACCTGGCACCATCTCCCTCCACGGTGCAGCTGAGCTTACTACATACAGCATGGGGTGATGATAAAAGTAAATTGGCTTATTCCTCTTTGCGTAGTTTCGAATCTGTAGCACCATGTTAGATTGGATCCTTAAGGTTCCGTAAGAGTGAGATTAGAAAAAATGAAAACCTGAGTTTATTTTCTCATGAAATTAAAAAAAAATTAGAGCACATTGAAGAGAAATCACCATCCTCAGGAAGCTTGCTGGAGCTCAGCAGTGTGCGTCTCTGGAAAAAAGGACCAGCGACAGAGACTTAAGATGAAACTATCAATGTACAGTTGTGCCTCCCGCCCTGCCTTCAAAGGGAAGAATTTCAGCCTTTGTCTAGTGGTTTTTCGGAAACAAATAATGTGTAATAAATTGATGTTGTCAGTAAATTTGGGTTGTATGTTCTGTTTCTTTCAAGGAAAAACTGGCCACGCAGAGGTAGTCCGAGTGGTGTACCAGCCAGAACGCATCAGCTTTGAGGAGCTGCTCAAGGTCTTCTGGGAGAATCATGACCCGACCCAAGGTAGATGAGTGAGCCAGTATTTAATTATCTTACTAATTACAGCGGGGATAATTAGTGTTTGAGCTGCATGGAAGAGATGAACCTTGAAATCACACAGGAGCTCAAGAATATGATTGCAGACATTTATTGACGGAGAAGAGGAGGGGCTGGGGGAGAAAGGGTGAGAGAATAAAGGCGCAGCCACAGTGTGCGCCCCTCCTCCCTTTACAGCTGTCAGGGGTGGGAAAATTCCCACAGAGAGGGACGCCAGACAATAGAGAGTCGTTCACCTTTGATTATTGCATTATTCCTCCTTAATGCAGTCTTTTGTCTACAAAATTAAAGTGTCTTTCTAGCAGCTCCAAAGTTTTCCTGATTTATGGTTCCTTTATTTCCCTGAATTTAGCCTTTCTCATTTTTTGACGTTATCAGCTTTCTTTTTTCTTTGAAATGTCTGCGGGTGATTTAAAAGAGAAAAAAAGCATAAAGGTAAAATGCAGTAATCAGTGGGTCTACAATGCTTGAGTTATTTAAATATTTCACTTATCTTCTTTGGAATTTATTATATGCAGATATTCATATATTGCGGCTATAAACAATGGTGGTCAGAAATTTTGTTTGAATGCACACACAAGCAAAAATCCCATGTTGGCAAATACCATTGTAATATTCAATAAGGGAGCAATTTCCAGATTTCATCTTAACAGCCTTATAAGCACTGCTTTGCTAGTGTGATGATCTGATATTGTGAGGCTTAGGAACTGGAAAGTCCTATGTATCTGATGTGATATTCGCAAACCCACAAACAGATTGTTCGTTTAGCAATTTGTCTATTTAACAAAAATGTTTTCCATTTGGTGTTAGGTTTTGGGGTTGGGGGCGTCCCAAGGAGACTGTTCCCTGATGAACGGATGGCTGTGTTTTTTCCAACTGTGTGTTGTGCTTTGTGGTGGAAACCTTCCCAGGACCACAGCAGCACAGGGTGCTGAGTCCTAAGTTCTGGTTCCACCTAGTGCCTGGATGATTTGCCAGAGGGTAAAGGTCAGAGCTCAGGCAAGAATAGCAGAATGATCAGTGAGGGTAGGGCAGGTCCAGGATGGAGGCCTTGGAAGGAGGCCAGGAGCAGGCTCTCCGTTACAGCGAGGTCCACTCTTTTTGCCAGGTACTCTGCTAAGTGATGCTAGATGACTAAGTGGTCTGGAATAAGCAGCAGTACCCGACCTTTTGGTTAACACACAGGGAAAAATATGTTCCTATAGGAAGACAGTAGTTTAATCCCAATAAACTGATGTCAAATGAGCATTCAGAGAAATATATGTGAGACCACAGACCCAGGTGTTAACCTGAAATAATTAAAACAAGATATATATTAATCCTGGGACATGAAAGCAAAAACGTGAGTTCAGAAGAACTCTGGTATCAATGGATTTAATATTCCTAGGGAAATCTGAAGGTCTAAAACCTGTGGTCATGAAGTCATTTTTCTGAGGTAAGAATTTGCAGTCCACTCTCTGAAGGGTGGGTGTGCAGCAGGAGATAGCTGGGATGCAGGTGAACTTGGTCATCTGACCACAACTTCTTAATTTCTCTTCTTGAAGCCTCATGGTGACTCCTGTCACTTTTCACAGTGCAGAGTGGCCCAGAAAAGAAAAGCACCAGTAGAGCAGATGAGGGAGGTGGAGGCGTGTAAGATCGGTTGCTCTTACTCCGAAAATGGATGTTTCTAAAGACAGCAGCGTGTTGGATTTGGTGGAGACTCTGGTCAGTGAAGCAATAGCCCATTCGAGGTTTTTTTGGGAAAGAAGAGTAAGACATTTCCTAAAACTGCTTGAGGCATGCTCTTAGCTGCACCAGAATTACTTATCAACAAAGAGACGAAACTTGAAGAAAAAGCTAAGAAGGCATTGATCTTAGATGTGATCATGTACTTGGGCTATTCACGATTCTCCACAGCAATAGAACTCAAGAGAAATGGGTTTTGATTAGCATGTTGAAAGACTTTAGTGCCTTGTTTATAAAGTCATTAAGGATTTGCAGGGGCCACTTAAATTTTTTAGTTATAATTTACTTCATTTTGTGGGAGAAGCAATATAGATGATATTAGCAAGTGTGGGGGTTCTGGCTAATGACAAGAGTCTTCTGTAGTGGAAACAGCAAGAATTTAAGGTTAATTTAAGTCCCCTTTCAATTAAATCAGATCTTCATGGCGCAGACTAGACAGAGAAAATCCTGCATACCCCTCACTGCTTCAAGGCACTAAAGCAGCTCTCACAGTGTGGGTCCTAATGAGAAGGAGGAAATCCCCATGGCCCGCCGTTCTGAAGGGAGCAAAGCTGGTAGGTAAGAGCTGTCAGAAAGTGTGGGCTCCTAGGGATATGGGGAGGGGGCAGAGACCTGTTATTCCGTTGCCAACAGGCAGTGAGTCCTGAGAGAGTGACACAATGGATTAGCTTCAGGTGAAGTTTACAGATTATTGGCCAGTAAGTGGAATAGTCTTGTCTCTTAATTTGCTTCAAAACTACTTTTGCAAAGCATCCAGATATCACTGTTTAAGCTGATAGGTCCTCTCTGGCATTGTCTTACTCATGGGGCAAACACACTTCCTCCAGGCTCCCAAGGATAGCAGGCTCATTCCTGACCATGTGGTCCCCAGTTCCCCCGATCTCCAGACAACACGGCAGAGTGTGACATTTAGATTTGGGTTCTGGCCCCAGTGAGACCTCTTCTCAACCTCGCGACCTTGGCCAAGACACAGTCTGAACCTCTGTTTTCTCGCCTATCAAAAAGGGATGATGGTTTCTATCCTGCATACTTCTTGGGTTGTCACAAGAACTAAATGAAATCATGTGAAAATAACTTGAAAATGCTCAAGTATCATGCAAGATGTAGGCATTTTTGATGTGTCCTTTTCAGCACAACAGTACAATTTCACTGGGTTCATTTTTTTAAATTAATAAATTTATTTTTATTCTTATTTTTTATTGAAGTGTAGTCGCTTTACAATGTTACTTTCAGAGGTACAGCAAAGCGATTCAGTTATACATATACATATATACATGGTTTTTTTTTTTTTGGTTTCTTTTCCGTTATGGCTTATAACAAGAAATTGATTATAGTTCCCTGTACTATACACAGTAGGTCTTGTTGTTTAATCTAATATGTATCTGTTAATCCCAAACTCCTAATCTATCTTTCCTCCCTACTTTCCTCCCTGGTAACCATAGTTTGTTTTCTCTGTCTATGGGTTTATTTCTGGTTTGTAAATAAATTTTTTTTTAGATTCCACATAAAAGCGACAGCATATGATATTTATCTTTCTTTGTCTGGCTTACTTCACTTAATATGATAATCTCTAGGTCCATCTGTGTTACTGCAAATGGCATTATTTCATTTTTATGGCTGAGTAATATTCCATTGTGTTTATATACCACATCTTCTTTATCCATTTATCTGTCAATGGACATTCAGGTTATTTCCATGTTTCGGCTATTGTAAATTAGCTGCTGTGAACATTGGGGTTCCTGTGCCTTTTTGAAATACATTTTTCTTTGGATGTATTGCTGGATTATATGGAAAGTGTATTTTTAGTTTTTTAAGGAACCTCCATACTGTCCTCCATAGTGGTTGCACCAAATTACATTCCCACCAACAGTGTAGGAGGGTTCCTGTTTCTCCACATCCTCTCCAGCATTTTTTATTTGTAGACTTTTTAATGATGGCCGTTCTGACTGGTATGAGGTAAAACTTCACTATAGTTTTGATTTGTATTTCTCTACTAGCTAGTGAAATGGAGCACCTTTTTGTGGCCTGTTGGCCATCTGGATATCTTCTCTGGAGAGATGTCTAGGTCTGGGAAAATTGGACAACTGGACAGTTACATGTAAAAGAATGAAATTAGAACATTCTCTAACACTGTATACAAAAATAAACTCAAAGTGGATTAAAGACCTAAATGTAAGACCAGATACTGTAAAGCTCCTAGAGGAAAACATGGGCAGAACACTCTTTGACATAAGTCACAGCAATATTTTTTCCAACCAGCTCCTAGAGTAATGGAAATAAAAGCAAAAATAAACAAACAAGACCTAATTAAACTTAAAAGCTTTTGCACAGCTAAAGATACCATCAAGAAAACAAAAAGACAACCTACAGAATGGGAGAAAATATTTGCAAATGATGCCACCAACAAGGGACTAATTTCCAAAATACACAAACAGCTCATACAGCTTAATATTAAAAAAAAAACAAAAGAAGCAACTCAATCAAAAAATGGGCAGAAGACCTATTTATTTATTTTCATATTCTTGATTTCTGTGGGAAAATATTTACCCTCTACCTACTGAGGTGGAGTTTTCTACCCACGAAGCTTGTTTTGGACTTCCTGTTAGTTGGAAAGATTACAGCGTTGTTTGTGTTCTCATTTTGTGGTGACACGGCTGCTGCTGGCGGTGATAAGGCTGGAGGACAGGGAACTCCTGACGTCTGCTGCCTGGCACAGTCATCAAAAGAACCAGATAAGCCCCCAGCCTCTCGCGCGTGATCTGGATCCCTCTACCTAGCTTGCTCTATGAGCGCTCTATGCATGAGCTACATCATTTCAGGCCTCCTGTTCCTGCATCAGGATACGGGGCACAGACTCTGAACCTTGGGCCAAGCCACAGGTACAAAGTGCGCAATGTAGAGACTCAGCGTTGTCTCACCTGACCCCATAAATCTGGCTTCTCAATTCCACCCTGTTGTCTCCCCTTCATCCTGGGGGAAAGAGTAGGAACATTTATAAAGCACCTGTTGTGGGCCAGTCTTAGTGGTAGATGCTTTATGTCTGTCATTTCATTTAACCCTTACCACAGAACCTTATGAACTGCGGTTCATTGTCTTCACTTAACAGAAGGGAAGAAACGATGTTCCAGGCAACTGAGCATCTTGCCTGATGTGGACGTCACTGGACGCATCTCTGTCTGAAGCCCAGGGCTGTTTTCTTTCCCCGACACCAGAGGGGCCCATGCTTCCTGACTAGGAGG